ACCCTCCTGCCAGTCTTGCATGGACCCCTCTGCACCCATTGCTGCCAGGGAGGTTTTGCTGTTGCCATCCTGATCCTGATCCTTCTTCTTCTTTTTCTTCACAGGATTCTTCTTCTGCTTAAACTCCTGCGTGTCCCACTCGAGATCCCAGAGCCAGGGGTCATCCTTGTACCTGCCAACACACCACTGTCACCACGCAGCTCTGCTCCCATCCCCAGCGCCCACACATAGCCCCCATGGTCTCCATCCTGTGAGCAGCAGGACCTGTACCCCCAGCCCATGGGTACCTGTCCTCATGCAGCAGCTGGCAGGCATCATTGGCCAGGTTCATCAAAGACTTCTTCATCTCCTTCTGCAGCTCCTCATAGATGCCCTGAGCATCATCCAGGTACCTCTTCCAGTTCCCATTGACCGGCAGGTAGGACACCCCCATCTCCAGCATCCCTGCAAATGTCACAGGGTGGGGGCACCTACAGCCCAAAGTAGCAAGGAATTAGATGTCTGCTGGAGGGGATTTGCCGTATGACAGACATGAATGTGTCCTCACCCCAAACAACCCTCGATGCTCTTCTCTTAAACCCATAAGGATTCCTGTATCTCCTGCCTGCCCTGGATATCAACTGCTGCCCTAACACCCACCCTTGTGCAATAACCCCAAAGCTGCATCACTCCAAGGTGCCTCATTAAATCTGCTCACCTCCTCCAGCCACTCTGTGCTGCTTTTTACTCCTCCTCACCTACAACACAGGGATCTGAAGTCCTTCCGGAGAAGGGGTTCAGGGCACCCCAGTCTCCTGCCACCATTCCAAGGATCAGAGGAGCTGTATCCCAACCCCAGAGGGATCCCCCTACAGCCCCTTGGCCACCACCAGCCAGAGCTGGGCGGCTCTCACCTCTCCATGAAGAGCGGCAGCTGCTCCTGGAACACCTCATGGGTGGCCTGGACATCACGGGCACAGTAGGACATCAGGTCCTGCAGGAATAAGCAGGTGAGGGCAGGGAAAGCAGCCACCCCTGTGCCAGCGCAGGACAAAGCGCTGTGGGATGGTCCCAGCTCCATGCACACAAAGGGCAACAAAATGGGAATGACCCTATCAGCTCCTCCCACCCTGCTCCCATCTCTGGCTCCTGCTGCCCATAGGGATGTTGGGATGGAGCACCTCCCATATGAAGACAGGCTGAGAAGTTGGGGCTGTTCAGCGTGGAGAAGAGAAGGCTGCGTGGAGACCTCATAGCAGCTTCCAGTGTCTGAAGGGGGGTAAAAGGACACTGGAGAGGGACTCTTCATCAGGGACAAGGGGGAGAATGAGCTCAAACTTAAACAGGGGAAGTTCAGATTGGACATAAGGAAGAAGTTCTTTACTGTGAGGGTGGTGAGGCACTGGAATGGGTTGCTCATTGGGTTGTGAAAGCTCCATCCCTGGTGGTGTTCAAGGCCAGGTTGGACAGAGCCTTGGGTGACATGGTTTAGTGCAAGGTGTCCCTGCCCACGGCATTAGAACTGCATGATCTTAAGGTCCTTTCCAACCCAACCCATTCCGTGACTCTAAGGTCACCCCACCTGGAAGTGATGCCTGATGTCAGCCATGGTCCCCTTCACAAAGAGCTCCCGCGCCTCCTTCTCCAGCGGCTCCCCACCGACATAGAGTGCATGCACATCTGCCAGGTTGTTGATGCTGCTGACGTGCACCCAGTCCCACGACGTGATCTGTGCACACAGTGCAGGACAAGCACCACATGAGATCAGGCAAAGGATGCTGCTGCTGCTGCTGCCCCATTTTAAACCAAGACCTCCTCATCCGGAATGCCCTGGGAGAGCTTTACCCATCCGAGCTGCTCCAACAGCTCCCTCTTTGCCAGTACAGAAGCGACTGGTCCCATTACGGGATCAAGCAGCCCCCTGCCACTCACCGCCATTGGCTCAGCTCCCTTACTCACAGCCGGCCCTTCCATTTTGCTGCGTGTTTTCTTGATGTGCTGCTTGACCTGCTGCAGCCCCTTCCTCTTGCCATGCTTGGCGGCCATCCAGAGGCTGCGCTGGAAGCCCGTCAGCCCCGAGATGGCCATGTGCATGCTCATGGTGTCCAGGAAGCGCACCCGGGAGCCCTGGGAATGCACCGGGGAGGGAAGAAAGATGGTTTGGGAGATGCTGGAAGAGAAATGTGCTGCCAAGCGTCCTGCAGCTGCCAGCAAGCACTGCTTTCCTCCTGCAAGACCCTGCTTTCATCAAGGCAAAGCTCTTCATCAAGACACCCCTCTTTTGAGAGCCAAGAGCACCTCCAGCGCAGGCTGTCAGCTGCAGAAAGGCTCCTGCCACTTCCCCATCTGCACGCCTGCAGCCTCCAGCAAACTTATGGGGTGCAAGAATATCTCCCTATGAAGGGACCCCACCTCAGCCTGCTCTGCAGGACAAGGGAAGCACAACCCTGGGGAATCTGTGCGGAACAAAACAACCCCAAAGAGCCAACGCAAAGGGTGACAAACTGCAGCTGAACATCAGTTACCTGGATGAGGTACTGCTCCTTGATGAACGCCCGGTCAAAGGCCACGTTGTGCCCCACCACCACTCTCTCCAGCCAGTCCCGCCTGCCAGCACAGGCAGCGCCTGCTGGGCTCTCCAGGGGAATGAGGTCGGCCAGGGTGAGGTGGCTGGACCAGGAGTAGCGCTGCTCCAGCAGCCGCCGGCTGCACCACGAGTACCTGCAGGGGACACATTGCATCCCATCCCACAGCCATAGGAAATAATGCAGGAGCTTCCTGGACCGAAAGCACCCACTGAGAGCAGGATCCCACCCAGAGCAGGGAGGTAATTGACCCATGGACACACATCACACACCCCAAAGCCACACTTTGAGGCTTCACTATTATCCCCACAAGCCAGCAGTGGTTTGCAGGAATCATAGAACAGGGTTGGAAAGGACCTTAAGATCATCTGGTTCCAACCCCCTTACCATAGGCAGGGACACTTTACACTAGACTCTGCCCAAGCTGTCCTTGAACACCGCCAGGGATGGAGCATTCACCACGTCCTTAGGCAACCCATTCCAGTGCCTCACCACCCTCACAGTAAAGAACTTCCTCCTTACATCCAACCTAAACTTCCCGTTTCAGTTTGAACCCGTTACCCCTTGTCCTATCCCTCCAGCATCCTTGCAGGCTCCTTCAGATACTGGAAGGCTCCTCTACGGTCTCCCCAAAGCCATGTGTGTCCCCCCAGCATCACCACTGGCCACACATCTCACCATGCATGCGGTGAGACCGCCACGGCCAGCGTCGGGCAGTGTCCATCCGCCACGCACACCTCCACGTCCAACACCACCGCCCGCTCCTCGGGGAAGTCAACAGCTTCCACCAGCCCACCAGGGCCGTAGCGGGTCCAGCCGAGCTGCCATGCCCACTGCTCGGGCACAGGGGGCAGCTCGCACCGCAGCAGCTCGTTGGCCGCCTCCAGGTAGGGCAAGCTCTGCTTCTGCGCCAGGAGGCGGAAGTGCTCGTCGATGTTGTTCCCGTACATGCGGGGCAGCCGCAGGTCCACGTCGGGCAGCGTGGAGGTCTCCTTGCCCCACAGGTCGTGGCGCTGCAGGTGCTCCACGCTCCTCTGGATGTCCGTGGATGAGTGGTGCACGCGGGCCCCACGGAAGATCTGCTCGTGGAGGGTCCTGGACAGCATCTGGATGTTGAGGGGGTTCATGCGCCGCTGGTCCTTACCCGCCGTCTGGCTCGGGGCGTCCTCCGGCAGCGGGCGGCGGGCAGAGGAGCTGGAGGCGCATCGCCGGGGCTTGGCGGCACAGCCCCGCGCTGAGCGCCTCCACAGCAGGCGCCTCATCCTGCCCGGCCCGGGGGATGTGCCCCAGCACGGGCCGGAGCTGCAGGGAGAGCAACAGCGAAGGGTGAGCGCAGTGATGCTGCCGGGCTGCCCTGCACATATCCCCCCCCCAAGGCATTCACACCGTGCAACAAGTCGCTGCATGCACACCCCTTACATAGCTGAGCACCCCCTTACACAGCCATAGAATCACAGAATAGTTAGGGTTGGAAAGGACCTTAAAATCATCAAGTTCCAACCCCCCTGCCATGGGCAGGGACACCTCACACACGCCATACCACTCGTTACACAGCCGAGCACCCCCTTACTCAGCTGAACACCCCTTTATACAGCCGAGCACCCCCTTACTGAGCCATGTACCCCTTTACACACCTGCGCACACCCACTGCTCAGCCATGCACCTGCTTTACACAGCCATACCCCCTCCCGCACAGCCGAGCACCCCCACTCAGCCACGCACATCCCTCACACAGCCGAGCACCCCCTTTACACAGCCATAACCCCCTATACACAGCCGAGCACCCCCTTTACACAGCCATAACCCCTATACACAGCCGAGCACCCCCACTCAGCCACGCACACCCCTCACACAGCCGAGCACCCCCTTTACACAGCCGAGCACCCCCTTTACACAGCCATAACCCCTATACACAGCCGAGCACCCCCACTCAGCCACGCACACCCCTCACACAGCCGAGCACCCCCTTTACACAGCCATAACCCCTATACACAGCCGAGCACCCCCACTCAGCCACGCACACCCCTCACACAGCCGAGCACCCCCTTTACACAGCCATAACCCCTATACACAGCCGAGCACCCCCTTTACACAGCCATAACCCCTATACACAGCCGAGCACACCCCTCACACAGCCGAGCACCCCCTTTACACAGCCGTAACCCCCTATACACAGCCGAGCACCCCCTTTACACAGCCATAACCCCTATACACAGCCGAGCACCCCCTTTACACAGCCATAACCCCTATACACAGCCGAGCACCCCCTTTACACAGCCATAACCCCTATACACAGCCGAGCACCCCCCTTCGCACACCCGTACCCTCTGCACACTCCCGTACCCGCTCCCGCCTCACGCTGTCCGCAACCGGGCCAGGGGGCGGATCCAAACCGCGGCGCCCGTGTGAGCTTCCGGCCGCGCTGACGTCCCGTCCCGTCCCGTCCCGTCTTCCCCCCCCCACCGGGCCGCGCTCATGGTACAGTCCGCCGGGCGTCGACTGAGTATGGCGACGAGGAAGACTGACGCAGGGGCGGCCGCGTGGCCTAATGGATAAGGCGTCTGACTTCGGATCAGAAGATTGCAGGTTCGAGTCCTGCCGCGGTCGTAGCTGGAGCTCTGCTCGGAGGCTGCTTGTTTTGCTCCGCCCCCCCGTGCTGCGGCCTCGGGGCGGAAACCGACGGCGGAGCCGGGGCTGCTGCTCGCCGCTAGCGGGGTCACCGCGCGCAGCCGTCGTGTTTTACATCGTGTTTAAGGAGAGAGGAGAAAACGCGGAGTGCGGCTCCGTGCGTGGAGCCGGAGACCGACCTCGACTGTAACACGAGTGGGGCGGTCACAGACACAGCCGTGGGGACCGGCAGTGCGGGGTCCGGTGTCCTCCACCCTTCAACCTCCACGGCCCCACGGCTCGGTGCGAGGGGGTGCAGGGTCCCCTCGCCTGGGGTGCTGGGGACAGCAGCGGCCGTGAGGCACTGGTGGGGACAACTCGGTGCGTGGCCGGAGAGCGAAAGGTGGCTGCAGGGTGCGGGTGGCAGGCCATAGGGTGCGGGAAGGGGCTGCGGGTGCAGTGAAGGGGACCAAGAGGTGGGTGCGGGCTCCCTGCCCTCCGCACGGACTCCTGTGTCCGGGAAGGTGGCTCCCGGCAGAGCCCAACGTGCCCTTGGCATTGCAGGGTGCCGAGCCGTGCCAGGCCGAGCCGTACCGCGCCGGGCAGAACCGCCAGGTGGCGCTGCGGGCCCGCCGCTGCCGGCCGGGCCGGGCCGGGCCGGATCCCCCGGGACCGGGGCTGTCGGGGCGCTGGTACCGCTCCCGCCCCATCCCTCCCCGCTCTCTCCCGCTGGGCACCGGGCAGGGGGCACTGCGGCCTACGACCGCTGCCTCGACAACCCCGGTCCCTGCAGGGCTCCAAACCTGGGGTGCACCCCTCTAAATCCGCACAGCTCCCGTCCTTCGGCGTGCAGGGTTTGGGGGGGCAGCTATACCCCCTCCTCTCCGTACAGGCAGCAGCAGCATGGGGGGGGGGCTGAGGAACGCACACACACACCACGATGCTGGGTTTTGCGGCTTCGAATGGATTTCAGAGCCCCTGGGCCTCCCAAAATACCCACTGCCCGCCAGCCTGAGATTCAACTGTGGGGACAGCGCTTCACCCTGTTTTATGCAGCAGCAGAAGATACCCGCTGCCTGAGCTTTAGGGGATCCAGGCCTATGGGGTATCCCCGTGCTCAGTCCCCCATCCCGGTGGCTTGAGGTTTCCCAGTCTTGCAGCGGGAGCTGGGGGTGCAAAGCCAGCGGGGAGGGATGCTCCAGGGCTGGGGTGCTCGGAGTAGGAGAGAAAGAGCCATGAGCCGCACTGGGGCGAAGCAAGGAAGGGTTTGGGGACGGCCTGTCCCTGTCTGGCTCTGGGGAAGGACCTGGGTGCGGGGCACTTGTTCTTCCCTTCGATACGTTGTGTTTACGCTCATCTTCTCTCGTTTGGGGTCTTTGATCTATTTCTTTTTAGCTTGATCGCAAAACAAATAATAATAAAATATACACAAAGAAGCCTCATTAAAAAAAAAAAAAAAAAACAAAAAAACACAACCCCCTTCAAGCGGAAAAAAAAAAAAAAAAAAGAAAAAGAAAATAATAATTCTCCCTGAAATTGTTCACGTTGATGTTGATGACAACGAGCCCATTGCCTTGTCCGCAGCAGGACCAGCCGGGGCTGCGTGTTCCTCACCCGGGTGCGGGCAGGGAGGTTCGGCAAGGCAAAAAACAATAAACCACCACCATGCAAAAAACAATAAACCACCACCATACAAAAAACCCGAAATAACCCCAAAAAGCCGCAGTTTCATCAGGGCTGATTGCAATGCATGAGTCGGGATGAGGAGAGTAAGGTCTTCTATTTCTTTTTCTCCTAGGTTCTTTGTCTGTCTGTCTTTCTGTCGGGGACGCATCCCCATCCCGGTGCGCCCCGTCGGGCTCTGGTACAAGCCGTTGGAGATACAATATTCACACGCACACACACCGCCTTAGAGACCCCGTACCCCGGCGGAGGCTCGATGCTGTCGGTCGGATAATGGGGCGGTGGGACTTTGTTTAACCCCGTTGCCCCCGGGGCCAGGGGTCAAGGGCTTCCTCTTCCCCCTGGGGCACGGCGAAGAGGCCGCCGCTCGCAACGGGAGGACCGCGGCGGGGAGGGAACGGGCTGCGGCCGCTGCTCCCCTTCTCACCACCGCGGCCCTACCGGTGCGACCAGTGTGGGACCCCGGGAACCCCCATCGCTTCCCGACAGCGAGAAGCTGAGGTGGGCTCCGGGTGGTGTTTTGGGGTACCAGGGGGCGGCCAAGCATCAACCCGAGGCAGGGGGGAGATGCGGAAATCGGCCCCTGCCCTCCAGCATCCCTCAGGTCTTGCCTTCTTCCCCGGATGGAGCAAGCCGTTTTTAACGGGGAGCCGGTTTTAACGGGGTTTTACCCCTTCTCCGCAGGCAGAGGTATCTCAGCCGCCCGTCCGGGAGCCAAGAAACGGGAGAAACGGGCAATTTTTATAGGTGACGTACGGGCTTACGTGGGAATCCATGCCCAGCACCGCTCTTCCAGCTTTTTTTTTTTTCTTCTGAAATAACCCTTCCCTGCAGCTCGTAACCCCCTTTTCCCGCTTGCACCCCCTTTTCCAAGCTGGGGCTGTGGGAGACGAAGAAGGAAAAGGGAAAAGAAAAGCAGCTCCCAATATCCCGCTATTTTTCCTGCTCGAGAGACGAGCCCTGGAGCTCCCGAAGTGAGCGATGGAGAGGGCGAGGGAAGGCGGGCGGGCGCCGGCTCCGAAGTGGAGGGGTCGGAGGTGGGATGGAGATGGGGGGAGACATGGGGGGATCCTCCTTTTCGGGATTAAGGGAGAACCGGCGAGGGAGGGAGGCTGGCGGCACCGCGGGCATTCGAGGTAAGTCCCCCGCCGGTGGTACCGGAGCCCAGGCGCTGCTGGCACGGGCGGTGCCGGCGCTGCGGGATAGGGAGGATGCTTTTGGAGGAGCAAAGGAGCCCTGTCCGTGGGGGTACCAGGCCCAGAGCCGGGTCCTGCGGGCAGTGAGGGGCCGGGGCTGCTTTGGCGGCTGCGGCTCCGGCTGAGATCGGCGCCGGTTATCGCGGGCTGGGGGCTGCAGGCAGCCCTGCCCGCGCCCTCGGGGCTTGGCCGGGGTCCCCCTGGGGCGAGCGGCCCACGGAGCCCGGTCCCGGCCCCCGGGGCTCCTCCCGTGCGTGTCTCAATTCTCTCAGGCTTGACTTGGCAATAAGCTCTCTCAATAGGGTGACAATAGAGCCCCGGTGGGACCCGAACAAAGAATTTGAAAGTAGTTAAATTGCAGGACACGTCCAGGCTGGGTGCTTGAATTAAAGAAAAAAAGAGAAAAAAAAAAAAAAGGGAAGAAAAAAAAAGAAAAAATATTCGGAGCAAAGCAAAAGGAGAGAGACTTTTCTTTGGGCTGGTGAGAAAATGCTCAGGGTAAAAGTTGGTTTGGCGTCTTCATTTCAGCGACAATGGAGCAGAGCTAATTCAATAGGAAACGCGGGGATTTTATAGTGAAAAGACCGCGGGGTTACACCGGAGTTAAGCTCTTGTGAATTAATTATTAGCGCAAATAAACTGGGGGGGGGGGGGGGGGAGAGGTGGGGAGTGCTTGAGAGGGAGTGTAGCGATTTCTTAATATTCTCTTTTTCGTGTTTAACGACAATGCCATCGGGTTTGCGACTCTGGGTGAACGAAAGGATTCCTCACCCTTCCCGTGACGAGGAGAAGACGCTGGTTTTATTCCTTTTCTTTCTTTATTATTCTTAATTTTCTCTAAATGGTGTTAATCGCTTATAAAATAAAACCCCACGGAATTTGGCAGCGAGCTCCGGTTTGTGCTGGCGGTGGCATTCGGGGTTATGTTTCCTTCCGTGGCAAGTCGCAGATGCAAAAAGGAAAATAACGGGGGAATTTAAAGGCAGGGATGTAGAGGCGAGGCGCCGTGTTCGGCTCTCGCACATCTCTCCGGCTCGATCGGTTTCTTGTTTTATTCCCTACATAGAAAACCCGTGCGGGGATCCCTGGGCGTTCATCGGGGCGGCGAGAGACTCCCCAGAGCCGCTCCGGGGCATTTGTGGAGTGAATCGGAGATAAAATACACGAGCGCGGTTAAAGGCAGGGAGGAAGCGAAGGGGAGGTCGGAGGAGTAGTAAAGGTGTGCAGGAGGGGTCTGGGGGCTTTTTCAGCCTCAATGCCAAAGCTGCAGGTGATGCGATACGTGTGTGATTCTGTGAGGAAGATGAGGAAGAGGTGAGGAAGGTAGTGGCGGAGGGAGGCACCCCCGTGCCCCGGTTCCAGCGCGCTGCGGCTGTCGGGGTGAAGCCGTCTGCGGGACTCGGCCTGTCCGTCGGGGCGGGGATGGCTCGGCCCGGCTCCGGGAGGCCCTCACCTCCGAGGAGCAGCCGGTGCCCCGGCTTTGCCCGACAGCTGCAGGCGAGCCGGGCCGCGCCGGGAGCCACGGGGCCCTTCAGCATTTGGACAGCGGAGTGGGGCCGGGCCGGGCCGGGCCGGGGATCACAGCGGGGAGCGGAGGGCAGGCAGCGGCTGCTTCCCGTTCCCTGCTCGTCGTGACGGGGATTGGGGTGTCCTCGAGGGAACGGGGGTTCCAGGGATGAATGGAGGGGGTGTCACACCCCGGTTCTCCACCCGGAAAACCACTTATAGGACAGTGGGGCAGAGCGGGGATCCCGGCCTGCGCCCAGGTGAGCGGCGGCCTCGGGGGAGCGGATCTCACCGGTGGGGGGGGGTTAAGGATGGGGACACGGCCCCTCTTCTTCTCCCTCCCAAAGTCGTCGTCCCCCCCCCCCCCGCAGCCCCATCCTCGGGGGGTAATTACGGGGTGAGGCGAAGGGGCTGCGCTTTCTGCTCGGCGGAGCCTGGCAGCCACCAACCCCCGCCGCCACCGCCGCCTTCCTCCCGTCCTCCTCCTCTCCCCCTCCCTCCTCCCGCCTCCTCCCCTCCCCCTCTCCCTCCTCCTCCTCCTCTCCGCCATGGTTGGAGTGAATAGGAGGCTGCCGGGCTGACGTCAGTGCGGGCAGAGCCTGCCGGCGGCGGCAGCTCCTGGACACCGACCAGAGCCGGCACCGGCAGCCGCCGGGAAGACGCGAGGAGCTCGGGCAGAGCCGCTGCCGCCGTCCCCGGGGCTGGGGCCGCTGCCCGGCCGGGGCTGCCCTGCCCGCGCCGCTGATCCGCACTCTCGGTGTGTGCAGGGGATGGGGTGGCTCCCGCCGCCCGCTTCGCCCGGGGACCGCCGTCCTGCCCTCGGCACGGCAGCAAGAGTGAGTGTCGCGGCCGGGCATCGCCGCCACGGCGGAGCTGCCCCGGGGAGGCGGGAGGGCGCGGGGTGACTTGTCCCCCCAGGGGGGATGCACAGGCTGCGGGTGGGGAGGAGGGAAGCAAGCAGGGAAGCAAGGAGGAAAAGAGGGAGGGAAGCAATGAGGAGGAGAGATGAACTTGGGCCGGTCCTCACAGGGAAGTTGGGCGCCTGCAGGTGCCGGCACCACGCGGGACCGGGACCAGCACCGCGACCGCCCCGCGCCGCACCCCGGCCCCGGCCCACCCGTCACGGGGGACGAACGAGAGACACGGGGGACCTTGGGCTGCCGGAGATGCGTTTGCTCCGGCAGCCTCCCCCCTGCTGCCCGGGAGGTTGCAGCTCAGCGGCGGGACATGGGGCAGGCTGAGCCCCGACGGGGTGGCGGGGACCGGGAGCTACCGAGTTGCCCCTGAACGACACCGGGAGAGGCGGCACCGGGCAAAACGTCTGGACGAGGCCGAGCCTCTCGGGGCACCCAGGCTTTAGGCCGCGGGAGAAATCCCGGGCTCCCGAGGAAGTTCTTCCTCCCTGTGCAGCGGGTGCTGCTGAAGGGACCCGTTTCACGGAGGGGGATGGGGGGTCACAGGGATGCCCCGCTCGCCTGCTCGGATTTACCGCCGAGGAGCAGCAGCGGGGAGCCGCTGCCCGTGCCCTGATGAGCCACCGGCTTCTGCTGCTGGAGGATTTCTTTTATTTTTCTCCTGCTGTGTCTCTTTTATTTGCCTTAAAAAAATATATATATATATTATTTCATTTTATTTCATCCTTTCCCCCCTTATTTTTATTTAATTTATTTTTGTTTTGGTTAATTTTTTTCTTTTTCCTTTTTTTTTTTTTCCCCCCATTCATTCTTCTCTTCTTTTTCCTTCCTTCCCGGAAACGCTTTTTTCTTGGGGTTTGATTTTGTTGGGATTGGGTTTAACTTTGGGGGGTTTCTTCCTTTTTTTTTTTTTCCTTTTTTTTTCTTTTTCCTTTTTTATTTATCCTTTTTATCCTTTTTTTCTTTTCCTTCCCTCGCATCTCCCTGCAAGTGAAACCCGTTTTAGGCCTCAGCCTTTAGGAAACCCGAATCATAGCAGTGCAGGTGGCCCGAAACTCTGCACTTGACTGGATCCCCTCGACGTGCCTCCACCCCTGTCCCGGCCGAGCAGCCCCTGTCCCCGCCGAGCCGGGACGCTCCGGGACCGGCCCCGCCTGGGTCCCGGCCCCCGACGGCCGGCGAGAAAAAAGAGCAGCGGGGGCCGGGCCGCCGCCGCTTTGCCTTTTCAGCGCCGGGGCTTGCTCAGAGGCGGCTTTTAATTGCTAAACAAAGCGACGCGTTTCCTTCACGCCCGTCGGGAGCTGCCGCTTCTGTGCGAAGCCCCGATTTTGCGTGAGGAAAAGCAAAATAACCCCAACCCCACACCCGCAACCCCCCAGAACACGCACAGCCACAATTAAGAGAAGCTGTGGGGAGGCGCGGGGGTTACTCCAGGTTGGCTAAAAATAACTTCTCCTAATTAAAGAAAAGTGACGTCAGACGCGCAGGACGTAGAAGAGGGGAAGGCAGCGGACTCGGTACTGGGCGATCACGTTAAATAATCCCGGGGCTGCCCGGTGACCGGGCGGCCGCGGGGCCCCGGGGCTCGCCGAGGTGCGGCCGGCTCCGCTTCACCCAGTGAGGACACGGGAAGCAGAGGCCCGGCCACCCGCGGGTGGGCGCGGATGTTCCGCGGTAGCGCCGGAGCAGGTGCAGCACCATGGCCAGAGCAGCGCCGGCACCGCCGCCCCTCCCCGTCCCGTCGGGCCGCCCGCAGCCGCGGGTCGTTTAATCTCATGGGTTCGTGCAGAGGAAGGACGTGTCCCTCATGCGACGCCTCCGGAGCCCGGGCAGCCCCCGCCAATCCCTCCCCGGGCTGCTCGCTGGTGCTCTGCGCTATGCCAAGGAGCCATTTTGTACGTATCCTGCACAAATTGCGCCTAAAATATGATTAAAAATAATCCCACCAACCCCACCACCCCCCCAAAAAAAAATAATTAACCAAAAAAAACCCAACCCACAAAGCCTAAAAAAATACCCCCAAAATACCCCAAGAACAAGGTGAGATTTTCTCCCAAGTGCGGGGGGCTCTGCTGCACCGAGCGGGTTGGGGCAAGGGCTCCGAGCAGAGCAAGGCTTTGCTGAAAAGGAGCAGGGGAAAAAAGACAATATTATGTCCATTTCTGCCAAGAAAAACGCCTCCTCTGAGCAGCAGAGAGGCGGGATCCCAGCCACGGGCAGCCCGGCGAGATGCGGTACTTCACCCGCAGCATCCTCACCCGAGCAGCACGGCGGCCGGGGGCTCGGTGCTGCGGGCAGCAGACCTCGCACGGCGGCAGCCGGGCAGAGCTGCTGCTCGGCGGGGCTGGCTCTGCCCGCCTGGGCCCTTCCGCTGCTGTCGCAGGGACGGCGGGGCCGAGTCGCCGCCGGAGTGGCCCCGGGAGAGGGGGAAGCTGCCGGCCGTGCCCCACGCTGCTCCCCCCGGTGAGTAACGGGGCCTCCCCCGGTGGGGGGAAGCTGAGGCCGGGCCGTAGCCCAGGCGAACCCTCCATGTCCGCTCGGCCCCGCCGGCCACGCACCCTTGGGCTGCCCCGGGGAGGCGGTGGGGAGAGCGGGCGCCTTCTCCTGCCCGGCCGGGAGCGTACGGGCAGCGATCACCCCAATAACGACAGCGAGAAATTAGGAGAAAATCCAGGGCCAGCAAATGAAGGAATCCGACCCGTGGCAGGTTTTTTTTATCCTCCTTTTTCCGGGGCAGATTAAAATAACCCCCTGCCAAGCGCGCTCCCGAGCAAGGCACCAGGGGGCTGGGAACGGAGCACAGATTTCTCCCTACCTTCCCCAGCCCCGTCGGGGCGGCAGGGGCACCCCTAGGCCCGTTTCTCGTTAGGCAGGAGGCGGCAGGGAAGCAGCGGTTCCCGGGAGCGGGGCAGCGGCCGGGCTCGCCCGGGCGGCGGGAGCAGCGGGGCTGGCAGCGCTGGTCCTTCAGCTTTCAGCCTGATTGAGCCAGTAGATTT